AGAATCACATACTAGGCGACAACTATGATAGGTTAGTTTGAAAACCCCACAGATGCAAGTTTTAGGCTTTCTAGCAGTAACTGACAACATACTTGCTATGACCGGTAGCACGACCTAACACTCTACGAGCCATACGGATATGGCAGACTGAAAATGATACGAACCTAACGCACAGACGAATCGACCCTAACGCAGATCAGAACGTCAAGCATCACGACAACCATGCCACCAACGCACCAAGATAAGAAGAGAAGACAGACCATTGGCAGAGTTTTTTGCTGTCCCAACAACAGTCAATGCAGTTGATAGCGAGAGTGAATATACGTACTGCTGGACTACCTTGACAAACACAAAATCCACATGTAGGAAGAATAACTAACAACCAATGAGAGTTCAGCCTTGAGAGCGGAGGGAGGAAAAACAAGTAACTGTGTGAAAACAGTCATGTAGGTTACGGTCGTGTAGAAAACAGCAGGCGAAAGCTGTGCAAAATTACTTCAAGATGAAGGGTGGCTAGGCTGTGTCAGATACTCGAATTCTCTCACTAGTATTCCAGTTAATGACTGCCCATTTTCTCTCATTTCTTTCTCAGCGAGTGCACTCCACCTCAGATTCACCTCAGTCGCCCAACTCACCGTTTCCCCTTTGGGTTCCACCGGGTAGCCTGGCGCGTGATGTCCTCGAATGGTCCCTTCATTGCATGCCTAATCCATGTTCACTTTCTTCAGCATGTTTGTTGAGCAATATATGTTTGGTTGGTTCGTTGCGAGGCCAGAGTTCCTTGTTGCGCATTCCTTCTGGCCATCCAAGCTTCCGTTACGAGAGTAGGCAGTTGTTGGTGAATATCTATGTTTTGTCGGAAACGTTGGAATTTCGTGATACAATTTGCAGTTCTCATCATTATACGTCCCAGCAGAAACAAAATATTTGCATATACATACTCCTTTACAACATTTTTGATCGTGTTGTTATAAAAATTTAAGTGTCGTGGAGAATATGAGGAACGAGAAAAGTTTACGTTGTTGCTTAAACTTCTAAGACGAGATTCTCAATTGTTACCAGGCTGATGTGTGATTTCTGTTCCAACACGCCTTACCTGGCAAAATGTGCGTGCTAGGTAAGGTACAGTGGAATTCTTGTACTTAGCTGTATGAGAACACAGTTTTATATAGTTTCTCTTTGTCCTCCCTCAGGAGGTACATAGAGAGAGCTATGAATAAAGCGGATGCTCAGTGTCAGCCAAAATGTCTGTTGCTGATTGCTTGCTGGGATTTAAATGTCATATGCCTCCACCTGCTTCTGATTAAAATCATCTTACCTTACCACTGAACGCTTCTTGAGTCGCTGCAATGCCTTTTTTGCCTGGTTGTCGGTTGCTAATATTTGACATTCACCTGAGAATATACTGTGGCTTCTCCTAAGTGATGAATTCACTGGTGACATGAAAACATAGCTTTCAATGACATGCCTGGCGCAACCTGTAACCAGAGCCATGCGACACTGCGAACTGCTGCCACTGGAAGAGGAATGTTAGGAGACCTAATGAATTGTGCAGAAATGTACTTGGTAAAGTAGAAGGGTACGGATTGTAATGAAGAGACGACCTTAGAGATCACTTGCCCCACGTGGATGGCCCAATGACTTAAAAAAATGCGGCTGCACCTGTGAATTATCAAAGTATTGTCAAGGCTTCTCACCCATTTTCAAAGGGAATTGAACTGACTCGGTTTTTAGTCCTGAAATTTGTTGAAGATAATCTCAGTGTGGCGATGAACAGGTGTACCAGCGTCTAGCAACTCTCCTCGGTAAGGGCAAGCGTGATAGGCAAACAAGGGTTATTCGCAGTAGAAACACCTATGGATGATGTGCTCGTGCGCATGTGTCTCTTTACCGAAGGTTCACTTGGCGCTGAAAATTGTGTACAGTTGCTCGTACTGCCTGAGTTTCAAACGCCAAGGGCGACTGAAAAATGAGTCTTTACTTCAAACGCTTTATGAAGGGACCAAAAATGTGGAGTGGAAAACACTCGCTGCTGAACGACTCCAAATGCACTACATTTAGAACAGTTAGTCATGCCACAAATTGAAAGTGCTCACACAGTGTACCACAGTGCATTATTAACGAAGAGTGGAGGTTTTAAATCTATCCAGAATATATGCACTGTGTTAGATAACGGAGTGGTAACGTGGCTGATTGGCACCTGAGTAGTTGTCGTCCACGAGAGGGCAAGAAAGTAAATTTTTGGTAACCACATTAATCATTTTGATTCAATTCTGATTTACTTTCGCACGGCAGTACTATTATATGGGTATGACACCATCATATACTTGTATCATGGGAAAACGCTGTTGGCCGACTACGAACTGATCACAGATAAGCCCTATTTACACAATGGTATATCGGCCAGAATATGAGACACCAGGGTTAAGCCACTATTAATTGTGACATACTGTTGGCACACAAGGTTTCTGATAAAATATATGGGAGCAGAGAGGGCTTGAATGCTCCAATAGTAATTTTGGGTCAACCGCTAGGACATTTAGTCCTCAAAGAACACACAGTCTTGTCATATCAATAGTTCTGTCTGTAAATGTAACGGAAAATAATCGGAAAGTCCCCGCTGCTGGACCTGTGAAGTTACACCCACCTTTAATGTTCTATTTTGATTTTTATATTGGAAAATGTCCTCATTCCCCTGTTTTCTTACCCTCAGTGTTGCCTAAGCTCATAGGAGTACATAGACGGTCATCCTAATTTTGGTTAAACTATATTTGTATTCGTCCAGTACTATCAAGTGAATTCAACCGTAGCCTACTGAGTTCAAAGTTTTGTTTTACTCTGTTGAAGGCTGCGTAGGCCATTACTGTTTTGATTTCGGTTTGACCTCCTGCTCCAGGCATTCCCAGTGTTTGATCTAACTGCTGCAGATATATACCTTTGGTCCCTCTTGCTGTTAACATTTTCACTTTGTTGAATGTAATCTTCGTCACTTATTGACCACTTTGTCGAACAGATTACTATTTTGAACCAAGGAACTTATCGTTGACTGTGCAGTGCCAAGACGGCACTGGCGAGGTACCGTTACGTTTTATATTGCATAACGATTTGATAGTACCGTAGATTTCACGGATATACAGCGTGGATATAGACATATCAACTGTGTTATGTTGTCGTTTTGGCGCATTTGACTGCGCATAAATCGAGGAAGCTAAGCACACCAGCCCCAAGTGCGCACTGGTGTACTTTTGGTTAATTCGAAGCCATTCTGGGCTAGATATCGTGTTTCAACCAGAATGATCCCACTTCTGTCGTTGTAATGAATATATAAGCCATGATACTAGTTATACTAAGCACAGTTTGAGAATTTCAAAGGGGAGGGGTCCCTCATCTTCAGGAAACACCAAACTAAGTTAGTCAATGGGAAGGGTGGATCAATATGCAGAGCCCTAGTTCTTGATCGGCCTGCTTTAAAAGCAGAAACTGGATGTTACTCTTGTGACAGGCATTTGCCATCCTGCATAGGAAGCTTAGTGGGTGCCCAGATCCGCGGATAATACTTGAGTGTGCGATAACGTTCAGTTCCTTGCGCTCCTAAAACGTAGCACACTACCTAAATGGTCCTGCGTGAATGACTACTAAGGGTGACTTCCATCCACCACATAAGCGGTGGAACTGTTCTTCCAAATGTGGCTCGATTCTTTAACCCCATTAAAAATGTCGGGATAACTAAATCATGCTGGAGAAATGATCAAACTCCTTCTCACCTGGAATTCTTACTGAGATACCTAAAAATTCACCCTCCAATAAGCAGAAGTGAGGCATTTTGTTATCCGTTTTTGCGATATCTGCGAGACATGGCTGATTCATCCCATCAACCAGTGTCAGTGTAATTTCATATTTTACCTCTCCGGAGGGCTTTAGAATAGATGGGCTAGGAAACTGAGCACGACTGTCAAAATACAGGCACTCACTAACATGTCTCTTGATAATGCACCTAATTTCAGGGACATTCTCACAGTAAGATGCTACATGGCAGGTTGTTTATTCTTTGAACGAGAAAAATTATCCCGACCTTTACTGTTATGAGCTTCTGTCATGCACGACCTTCATGCGTTCCCGATAGCCCTTATACCATGTGCAGCACTAACATTTTACTGCCACTAATTTATCCACCTGAGTTTCGGGTGAAACCGTGCGAGACCAGTGAGGATCTGACTGAAACATCAGTGGCCAATCTGTTTGAAATTCATTCGATGTCTTGGGGTAGAACTACGAAAAGGTGACTAGACCATGGTACAAAGAGCAACCGAATATTTTAGACGCCCTTAAACTGCAGCCTGTACAATAAATACGGATCAACGGGAGATGACCAGGATCAGTGGCGTCTAGAATAAGCCTCTTAAGTGATAGGCCAAGATTAGAATCACCATCTCATGGGCTTTCATTTCAAAGTAGGGTGTGATGGGCACACACCAAGTTCTTTGCTAACTTCTCTGATGTCAGAACCCACAAACTGTCGAATCTTATTTGAATAAGTAGCAGTGATCCCTATACGTGATATCACCAAGTAAGGATCGAGCATTTAAATAAGTCTAATTGTATAGACGGAGTATATTTAAACAGCTTACCTTCCAGCTTACCTTACAGATCACAGGTAACAACATCAGAAGCCGACTGATCCATGGTAAATGGTGTCTCTTTCACTCAAGGTAAGAGTGGTGGCTAACCTTCAGAGAAGAAGCATGTTGTTTTAAAATGCAGACGTGCAACTCAAAAAACAGTCTTTCGTTATTTCTGCAACATGTAGTACAACTTTTCTCCAACCTTGGTTAAAAGGGAACAAGAACAAAAATTCACACTTCATATTTATTGACGATAGTAGGAAAGCAAAGTGTAGGAAAAATCCAGTCCTCCATTTCAGAAGTAAGAAGATTTCATAACTTCTTGCACTTTTGTTAAAATGGTTAGAATTTTAAGGCCGACTAAAGGGTGATTTCTCAATGAGTTTAATATTTAGGACTAGCGTTCATTCTTTAAAGTGTTTTTTCCGTTTCCAGCATACCGATAGTTAGTTTCTTTTGCTTCCCTGCTATCCACCGACTTTTATTAGATGCAAAGATTCCTTACATATCTGTTACCGCGGAAAACTATCCCGGTCACATTTTACTTAGTCCCTTACAAAAGTGTGTCCTTACAATTGGTAGTGGGATAGGTTGTCTACTGAATCCAAAAAGAGCAGGTACTTTCTCACTTTATTATTTTATGCCCTAGATCTTCTTAGCGCTTTTGGAGAAACCAGTGGTGAATATGCTTTACGCAGGATATATAGTCAGATGTTGAATCATCCTGATGGTTGTCGTATTCTAAGGTATTTACATAATCTCCACTTACTTTTAGCAAGCGGCCAACTATCCGCACAAATACAGTTGACTTAAATGCCCTCCGTAAGCTACCTGATGGTACGTTTGGTAAGGCGTATTGGAACTTTTTAGACGAATATGTAAGTTACACTTTGCAATATCTCAAACCCTTAGAAATATTCACCTGACGAAAGACATTATGTCAGGTTTGTGAACGACCTGATTTGGCTTATGTCATGCTTCGTTATCGGGAGGTACACGACCTGGTTCACACTTTGCTTGATCAACCGACGGATATGCTGGGCGAAGTTGTCGTAAAGTGGGTTGAAGGCATACAGACACTCCTTCCTATGTGCTTGACTGCTGCTTACTTTGGTTCTCTACGCTTAGCACCCAAGTTAGTGCTAAACCAAGTCCATAAAATTTTGGATACTTTTATTGCCATCAGTATCTTGAATTGAATAGTTGCACAACTTTTAAAATACTTATTTTACACCTATTTTCAGGCAGTCGAAAACTTACGTAACAAGCCATCTGGAGTACGCTATTCGTACTGGCAGGCAAGCACATATACTCATGTGTGTTTACTTTGAAGAGCACTGGGAAGACAAATTGGATGATTTCCGATCCTCATTGAATATTCGGCCACCTCCTCCTCGTCAGAAGGTGATTTGATACACTGTTTCGGATACTTTTCGTAGTTACTTAACAATCAGGAATTGATATGGTTTAATATAGTTTCTGATTTTGTGACCATTCCAATTAAATATTTTAATTTGAAGATAGAGTTTCTGAAGTTAATATATATCAGTGGTGGGAATCGCAATAGATATGACATATACAGCTATGAGAACCAATCTCACTAAATTTTGTTATTTCATAACCGATCGCTTGAAATAACAATTCTTAGGTAAAATGTAGAACTGACTGTTTCAATGATTGACCCCCCATTTGAAGTAACTCAGCTTTTTATGGTTCATGTAAATGCTCTCATGCCAATCTACCAAATAGGGTCACCTAGATTTGATTCATTTAGCGACTGAAATTTGACAGCTGTAACCAATAGTTCTAAGCATCGGACGGAGCTGACTCAGTAATGTAGGCGGTTGACTTCCATCCAGTCATGCAAGTATTCGGATGCCGCTTCACCTGCCGAGGCAGCCAGGTGGCATCACCAGCCCTCACAGAATGGGTGTGGCTCATCGCTTACTGTAGAAATCGGCTTTGGTAGCTGATTTTCATTCATTCGCCATTTCTTATGTCTTCCCTTCTTTCAACAAATACGGGTCTTCGAAATTATTGGCTGATGCACCAAACTACTTGAACTTATCTCCTGAAAGTGTATGTCGCCATTTTACTGTGCATATCTAGTTTGAAAAGTAACATTTATCCTTGGTATTTCTTATTTAGTAATTCGTGCAACAGTGATTAGTTACGTATGAGAACCTTAAGCATCTTCGCTTTCGTAAGTACTCCAGGTTTTGAGTTACTCTTTTTGTCTATGGAATTGTCCTCTGCATTGCTATATGCTAGGATGTTTACTTCAGATAAGTAACTTTTGTTTAGATTTAAATACAGTTGTAAACCATTGGGTTACAGGTGTGTGTGTGTGTGTGTGTGTGTGTGTGTGTGTGTGCCACGGTGACTGTACCGCGATTCACAGGGCTACAGCCCACCTGTACAGGCACTCAACCTATGGATCTGAGGATTACAACCTACGACGCCTACCAACGTTTGAGCAACCAGTATCACTATCCTTTACAAAATAGGTTTCTCACAGTTCAGCTAACAAACGTGTGTATTTGTCATCGTTTTATTTGCGTTGCTTTGAATAACGCCAGAACGACAAACCTTAAATGGTAGGTTTAGCTAACTGTCTAGTACATGTATCTGTGTGTAATTACTGACTTGAATTTTGTTTGCTTTGCTCCTACACTTCCCTTTTGCTCATAGTTTGTAGTTGTATCAGACCTTCAGGTTTGATGAAACGTAGACTCACTCTAAGCGGTAACTGAGAGCTGTGACTGGATGTCTTCCAAGGTAATGCCTAATGCTAGAGGTTTGCTCATCGTTGCCTAATATGTATATAAATTGCACTAAAAGCCTGCTGATTTTCGCTGCATGTTTCATGTGGTCTTATTCATGAGATTTCAGGTCAAGAGAAACGTACCTTTAAGCCTTTTGAAAGATCTTATGATGAAAAATGCAGTAGGAAGAAGTAAACTAGCTAACATATCTCTATCATATCTGTAACGGAAAACTAAGCCATTTTAACTAGCTGTCGTGAGACTCGCACAATTACCCAGATACCTCGTGTGTCGGTGGTAATTTGTCACCACAGGAAGCATGGGTTACTCCAAGCAGTACAAACTGCATCCGAGCGTCATATATTAGGCTTGAAGTAGTTATGTATGATAAGCCTGTCATTATAAACACAACTTTTTCCGTAGCATATCACCGGGTGCAACCTAATCAGTTGTTTGCAGACGATTTTCCGTACTTTAAAACTGTAAATAAGTTCATTGTGACTGAGTGCTGGAAATAAGCATGTCATTCAGTGTAATCATGTAGCTTCAAAATCAGTGACTCAGATGTGCAGTTTTTTCTAGTATTCAGCTTTCAAGTATGATCAGTTATATTGTTACCTTAGTTGTATCGCACGTGGTCTGTAGGTTCACAAACAGCAGTGTGGAAGTCAGGTGTGAAGAAGCGCACCAGGAAGTGGTTTGTATTCTTCATTAACTGTTGTGGTCGGCACAAATGTCGCGTGCAAATAATCCTCAAGGTTACCAACCAAAAACATGGTATTAACCCATGAAATCTCTGATATGATGTAGGAGACTTTTGGTTAAAGTCGGTGCTATGAAGACACGGGGTTGCATTTAGAAAACGTTCTGCGTTTTAGGTGATCGGCCGCAGTAGGTCCAGGCTTGTAAAAGGCTAGAGGCGACCAGACTAAAACATGTCATCAGTGTATGAAGTCTTCGACTGTTGATTTAAGCCATGTGGGGAGATGCAGACTAGCCGGTTGGGGTCCGCCGGACAAGAAGAAGCAGTGGTTGGAGACTGTAGATGATATGGCTCAGAACCGACGTCAGTGGTGCAGATGTATACAAACACTATCCTCATCTTAACGCTATACCTAGTCTCATCATTTTCTCATTTTTCGTTTCTCTTCTTGAGTACTTTATATTTCTTTTGACTGAATTTTTTCATCTCCATCACTCACCTCACTACCTTTCTACTTGATGTACTGAAATGAGGTGTGGCAACTCGGATCGTTACGCAGTAATGCCTGGTCCTATGTGATAGTGATGATGCTGATTGGCTTTCGAGTTCGGGCCACTTTTTATTTGTTTAGACTAACCTATATTGATCTTGTTGTAGGAGGCTCCATAATCAACCTTGAGTACTTAGACGACATACTCCTGTGGCGTTAAAAATTTGGCAGGATTCAGAGTCTTGTGAATAAGTTAAGGGATATTTATAAAATTTCAAATGTTTTTCACTTTTTCGGATGCGAATTTCTGGTTCGTGATTCGGTTTTGTTAACACCTTGTCAGACAATAAAAAGTTAAATGGGTTAACTTATCGACCACTTCTCCAGTCATGATACGTTGCTGGCCGATGAAATCTTATCACGAGTTCCAGACTTTTGACTGGTTTTTGCTGATGAACATCACTTCTGGTATCAGTGAGGTATCCAGTTGTCTGCTCTTTTTCCTAATAAGTGACTGAGGGAGGTTACAGATGCCGGAAAATCATCGTCTGCGTAGCATCCACTGCATGTCGTGGACCAACCGTGTATGGAATATAGAGATTAGGCATAGAGTCTTAGGTTATAATGAGATACTTCAGTTGTTCAGGCTACAAACCTTCAACAACTGAGGTGACTAGGACATGTGTTTCACGTGCGTAGTCATCCCTTACCCTGACATACTATATTATCTGAAGTATGGTTGAGTTGGAATAAAGTTGAAGGGTTCGATATAGTAGACGTTAAAACATCCTTAAATACATCGATAAGTAGTTATTGATCATCTTGGGTTTTTGTTGTAACTACAAGTCAACTGAACACTAGTTATATGATTTCCCTTCATATTATTCTGAGATTCACTTTTTGTATATCAGCACCAGTCTTATTCGAATAAATCATACAGTACAAGGTACGATTAGTTTGTCAGTCTTCTTGATCATTACTTATTCCGAGTTCCTGGGACAGTCATAAATCGAGTGCAACCAACTAATCGTTTATTTCTCTCTAGTGAGGGATGATCACTTGGGCAGACCATGTCATACAGTGTTAACCAATCGCTTATTATCAACATAGGACAAGGCATTCCTGCATAATGGTCCAAGTTACTACACCTCATCAGCACATCAGCCGAGAAAGCACTAAGATGAAAGGTAAAGAAGAATCGGTCAAAAGTAAACGAAAGTAGTAAAAGAGACCAAGGAGGAATAAAAAATACTGAATTCAGTACAACGATTAAGAAGAGAATAATGTGTGTCGATACATCTGCGCTATCGAGATAAATTCTGAAGGGTGTCACCTAGACTCTGCAGTCATTGGTTTCCACTGTGACGCAAATCCCAAGCGGGGGAGTCTACATTTTCCCACACGGCTCGGAACAATGGTCAAAGACTGCACGTGATGATACTATATTTTAGTCTGGTCACCCGTGATCTTTTTCTAGCCTAAATCTACTTCGGCTAGCATTGCACGACTGATCAGACGGCGGCTCAGCATGCGTAAAAACCGTTCCAACCATCTGAGTCGATGAAGGTTCAAAACAACACTAAATGACTCTTCTCTTCTCTCCGAGACTTTACACCTGACTTCTGCATGATTGACTTGGTGACACTACGACATACGATCTGTACCAAAAAGGCAATGGTGGTCAAACATCTGAGGCTTTCTCATTTCCTCTGGCTCTAGTAGCCATGTTTTTCATATCCTTATAGTAGAACAGAGCGAACTGCAGCACAGTACACTCATTGCTTTATCGACTATCGGATGTCACGAAGGTGTAATAAATGTCATACGTTGGCAAAACCTGGCTGGGCTTTTCGCATCCGCCCAGAGATTTCGTCAGTCACCGACCTTCCAGATTCTATTCGAATTCCCAGGTGAGTGAAGTGTTCAACGCACTTGACCGCTTCACTCTATACTGTTAGCTGTAGAAGGTCGAATGCCATTCCCAGGGGATCAATTACCATTTTGGTGGCGAAAAACGCTTCCCAAACACACTCAAAGTACCACTTAAGGTGTTCAGAAGACTGCATCTTAGCGGCCTCTTCACATAACAAGACTATTTCACCTGTGAACTTTAGATCTACTAAGGATTCTCCTGTGGTTAGATCTGTCCTCTAAAGTCAAAAGTTGATAGGGAAACTTCTATCAGAATATCCATGATAAAACTGAACAATAATGGGAGAAGTGGGCATCTTTGACGTCCACCACTCGACGTGCACAACTAACTATAGGCTCTAACATCCCCGCACGTGTTCGAGTAAAGAGCCTTTAACACAGTGATGTACTTACTCGGCACCCTTTTCAGTGACAGATACTGATATAAGACCTCTCGATCATCAGACTCAAATATCACCTTCATGTCTAGAAAAATAGCCATTGTCGGGTGTCGGTAAGTGTGCTTGTTTCTTAAAACCTGCTG